CTCGATGTTGGACTGATCTCAACATCACTGGGTTTTGCAGGTTGTGTCAAATACAGAAAGAATCAAACTAGTTTGTAATAAAACTCCAGGTTATACATGAAATGGCTCCAGTTGTTTCTGTACATGGGCCCAGTGTGTCCTGCAAGCAAGGCAAAGAGAGGTAAAGATCACAAGAGGGAATAGTCAAAGGCATAAATCAAAACAACCTATGATCAGAGGGAAGATTCAGGTAAATTACATAATTTACAAACATTGTTTGCAGAGTCCATTAAAATAATGCATTGTTGTAGGATGATGATTCATCAGAAAGACATTGAACAGTTACATTCAGCCCACTCCTGTTGAGTTTAGTGATAGAGTTTTAGTTCTCTAGAATTAGGACAATTGGCAAAGGAAGACTGAGACAGTAGCAAAGAGAAAGAGAGACTTTAAAACATAATGATACTGATCATTTATCACCCTACATGCAGTCTATCTCAGGCTATGAGGGTGAAAGGTGAAGGCATAAATCCCAGCATGCGTTGCTCTGGGTTCAGCACAGTGTGTCTAGACAGGCCCTGGTTGATTGACCTGCTGACCATTTGACTCTGATCTGCTCTGAGCAGGCATTATAAAGTGATTATGACTTGTGGCTTATGGCTGTAAAAGTAAGGCTGATAAGCAAGAGCTGATCTAATCAATAGCTTTTATTTATTTGTTTTATTTAGCATCTTTTATAAAAGCAGGTAAAAACACATGAGCTTTTTTTTCTTTCTTTTGCCCTAAGACACGTGACAATTATGACACGCATACATAAGGAGATTTTGCAGACACACGACTTATGCAGTATCAGGAGGGCTCCGAGTGCATATCCATATGAATACAGATAAACTTACATTTAAGGAACATTGCATAAGCATGAAGTCATATTTCCACATACAGTATTTAAAGTGAATATCATGTACACTGGACTTTGTTTAGGTGAACGTGTGTGTGGGTGTGTGTGACTATGTGTGTGTGTGTGCGTGCATGTGCATGCACGTGTGTGTGTGTAGGTGTGTGTATGCTCATCAGATGACGTTTGTTTGCAGTCCCCCCCTATATCATCCTGTCCAGATGTGAGGTCCGAGTTACAGACAACTCGCTTTCAGAGAAGACTGTCACTTCTTGGATCTGTACATCCAACACAACAGCAGGTAAGTGTTCTGCTCTTCTCACTGCTGCAGCCTTTGCAGCTTCTCCGCTGAAGCCACTTCTGGGCAGATTAGACTAAAACATCCATTTAATAAAACATTTAGGTATTTGACTTCTTTCTGCATTCTGCAGTTTCATCAACTTGTTTCTCATCTTCAAAGGCTAAAATGTCAAATATGTAAAAGAATATCGATATCTCCATATGTAGAGGTCAATTTTAAGTTCTTTTTCTTTTTCCATTTTGTTTCAGACATGAATGCAAAATATGCCTTGGCACTGATCCTCGCTCTGCAGGGTAAGGCAACATACCAATACAATCTGTACAACTGCATTGTGTGAATGACATGTTTAAGTAAAGCATGGCTTTTATGTGACTGTGAATTCAGAAAATATTACACAAACTCAGAGAGCCATTTGAGGAAACTGACTTAAATGTAAATGCTATTCATTTTTGCTTTGTTCTAAAAAAATGATATAAATCCAACATGTTATTACTGCATTCAATAAATTGCAATAATTTATTGGATACTGCTGCATGGCTGGCTCCCGCACTGCTTTATCTATGGTTGACTTTTAAGATAAAGACAGATTTTTAAATGACACTGAGCTGCTGAAGCAGAAATGATTTTATACATTGAACACTGGTTCAAGAAATTTGATTTTGGACACAATTACCAAGAAGCCAAGACATTCAAAGCAGCTTTTCTTTGGCCTTAGAGGTACACTTGCTTTGATAATTCTTCCAATGCAAGAATTTACATACAGAGATTGCTCTTTCAAATGAACTTGTCTTGCTCTTTTGATTTATTCTGATTCTGTTTTTATAGCATTGATTCAAACATAATAATCTTTCTTATTTCCTTCCAGTCTCCATGAGCCTGTGTGACGTCCCTGCACCATCGCAGGAACTTGTTGACAAGTATGATTCAATGAAATCTGTCTTCTACAAGAGGCTGCTGAATGCTTTTGGCAAGGTGCAGCAAGCCGCTGCTCCTTTCGTGCAGAAAATTGGTGAGAGCGAGCGTGGACAGACTGCCAGGACCTACCTCGAGGAACTGCAGGGCAAGCCCGAGCTCCAAGCTGCCGTCAAGGTTGCCAGGTGAGCGTTCCCCAAGAACAATCCTTCCAGGGAAGACCCTGTAGATGTTTCACTGTCAGTTTGAGGGAAAACTGCCAATGTTAGGAAATGTGTCCACTTAAAATATAACATACAAGGAAAAGCAAAAGGCTTCTCTAGGCACTGAGTTAGGTGATGAATCTTTTTACTATGGTGATTTCTTTAAATAATTAGTCATCCCTGTTTTGTGCAGTGGCCTGGGTGAGGAGGCAGCCCCCCTGTTGGACAAGGCCCGTACAGCAGTTCTGGGTCTGTACGAACACTACCTGCGCCCCCATGTTGGCAACTTCCTGAGCGACGGCATCGACCATGCCAAGGTCTACCTGGACAAATTCCTGCCCGCTGAGTAAAGAAGACCAACTGGAGCAAACACCTGTCAGCAATCTGTAATAGATGATAGCTCATAGAAACTACACCAGTTTAGGCTGAGAAGAGCAATGCACAATGCAAATACAATCCTTTGCCAAAGTTAGTTAAAAACAAGGGCAACACCATCTATGCAAATTGTGCATGTACAGTATTTTGTGTTTGATACACTAACCAAAGTCTGCGTGTGATTGTGTATGTATATGTGTGAATGTGTCCAATAAAATGAACTGGAAACTATTTGAAATGTGCTTCTTCATCAAGAGACTGAGGGGTTTACTTCCACAACTAATATCATAAATGTGGTTATTTAAAGATATTATTTTATGACCAAAGTTGTTCAAGGCTCCACTAATCACCATGTTATATAATTATACTTACAAATTTCAATTAAGCTACAAAAATCTCCACATCTTAATTTGTTGCCACATAAATGAATTAAACATTATGGAACTGGTTTATGAGCGTAGCTCTCACTTTGATAGCAATGAAGCTGTAATCTAAAATGAATGCTTTACACTATTAGTGATTAAAACCATTCAATTATTAAACGCAGACACTAATAATAACACATGGAGATGTCTCATATGTTTAGCAAGAATATTTTGTCATCTTACTCTGAATAGAGCTGAGTGTGTGTACATCCTATCCTGAAATCATGAAAGTGTCCTACAGTAAAACGAGCACATGGATAATTCCTCTAGAAGTGTTATTTCCTTGGAAGGAAGGTGGCGAAGACAATTTAACTTGTCAGTGTTGATACAGTGATTCTTTTATTCAGTGTTAATAGATGCTCCCAGTGGGCCAGCTCTGAGGATATTCTGAATCATGGCATTTTGTGCAAGAGCAACAGGATGTGCAACTGTTTTTATATTTCTGCCTCTATACATTCTAGTAACTCAATTTTTTTTTTTTTTTTAGTAATTGATCCCAACTGTGTAATAACAGTGTTCAAGACATGGCACAGAGACAACAGACAAAAGAACTGATTGTAGTGTCAGTGTTGCTGTAAGCACTGATAGTGCCATTACAGGGTTTAATGATCGCCTTTAGCTGCAGAGATCACCAAGCAAAGAGTCATCCCAGCACTGAATCAGCTGGATTTAATCAAAACTGTTTGAATCCCACCGCTGCCCACAGCTGTCCTCAGACTGACCTGAGCTCTCAGGTCACAAGCAACATGACATGTGAGGCTGGATCACATGATTGGCTGGGATGTTTACTTAGGACTCTTAGGAACATGTTGCTATTCCAGAGAAAATTACTTCTGAAAAACATGTAGATATAGATAAAACTAAACCCTTTTCTAATTAAACACGATGAATAATACAGGTAGCTGGGAAGCTCATAAACTTCTGCTGACCAGACAAAAAGCTTGTTCTCAAGTCATAGAAAAAGAGATATAAAGCTTTCATAAACTACTGTATATGTTATGATTTCCTATTGTAGTATGTAGTAGGACTAAAACAGTGTGTATTATATTATATAACAGCAAAAACCTCAAGGATGAATAAAAAAAATGTATTACATTGGATAGGATATACAACACAAAACATTAGAAAGTCCAATGGTCTCCACATGAAGAAGAAACAAAATCTACATTTTATTTTTCACCTGTGCCTTTGTCAGCAAATCCTGTACTAAGGAGTAGAAGTAATCCATGGATATTTAACAGGAAAGGTAGAAGAGTTTGTCTTTCACCCCAAACAACAGCCCCCCCCCAAAAAAAAAAACAAAACAAAACAAAACTCCATAAAAAAGAGAAGTCTTTTGACTGCCACAATAAATCTAGTCTAGCTGACCAAATATTTCATAACCTAATTAGACTGGATGACGTGTTCAACACACTCTAGACTTAGGACCATCTTAATAGGACTTAGGACTATTGTAATGTGGCATGAATGCATCATCTCTGTTATGCAAGTAACAAGTTCCTCCTTCTGGAGGTTGTGAACTTGGCAAGGTGTATGCGTGTCCTGCATTAATAAACTACTAACTAAATCAATGGAAAACAATTAATTGTGGTGCATTCAAAACTTGCCAAGAGTTAGTGGGAAATGCACCAACATGATGCCCTCTCCTCCCTTCAACCCCTCTGCTCATAGAATCAAATCTTTCAATTACTCTTTAGCTCCTGATGACATTTAAAGCACTTTTTGATGCTTCACATACCATCCTCATGATTATGCAGATAGTAACAATGTCTGTTTAATCAAGACACAATGTGACACATACTCCCACCTGGACAACAGTGTGTGTTTATCTCCCACAGAGTGCACTTTGGCTCTGGGAGCAACAAGTCAACACATTTACTCTCCTATATAAACTGGTTAGGCAAGCGTTACCTCATACTCTGTTTTCTTCACCACAGCCATTTCTGGAGAGAAATACAGTGAGTACTGACAACTTCTGCTTCCTTTACTGAATGGGATAGAGTTTAAAAGTCTTCAAATTAATGAATCTGGCACTGGTCATCAGACAAGTTCAAAGATAATTAATATTTTCTGGCATAAGTTGTGTGTTTAACAGAGATGAAGGTCGGAAAATGTTTGGTTTTCATGCTAGATGAGGAAAATTCATACATAAACAATTAATATCAACACATATACACTGTATCGACTACACATGAGAGGGAGAAACCTATGACAATATCTCACCCTAGTGGATAGAAGAGGTAAGCTTTTAATGTCTCTTCATTCACTTTCCTCACAGATACGAGTGACATTATGAATAAGCTGCTGGTCGTTACCGTGCTTGTTGCACTCCTTGCTCTCAGTAAGTGTATTCTCAAATGATAAAACTGAATCCAGAACAGAAATAAATGGAGAAATATACCTGGTATTCCTGATAATACGTGATACCCTTTGACCCGTCTGACCTGGTTTTCTTTCCGTAGGTGCTGAGAGCTTCCGTGTGCCGAGGGAGGCGCAGGAGGAGGAGCAGGAGCAGGGGACTCTGACCAAGATTGCAGATAAAGTCAGGACCCTCTATGAAAGTACTGTCAACACTGCCAGTGGGTACCTGGAAGGCGTGAAGGGCCTGAAGCTGGAGGAGAAGGCAAAGTAAGAGATCTTAAATGCAGATTCATTAATGCAGTAAGTGTGAATTAATCTCTTTAAACGTCTCTTTCTGTGTTTCCTGCAGGAACCTTTACACTGACACCACCACAGCTGTGAGCACATACGGTGGCATACTGCAGGACCAGATTTACCACCTCTTCTACCCCCAGCAGTAAACAAAAACTCATTTCCAGTGACCTCCACTACCTTCTCCCACAGCGTAAAAAAACTTTAAAGCTACCCACAAAAGGCTAAAGCCTTATTTGACATTCTGAACTTTGCCATGGCTCACCTCACCTAAGCGTCAGAACCTCAAACAGCATCTTCAGAAATAATGTACCTGGTGCTCTTTGTAGTGCTTTCTTGGGCCACTGTACCGGTGGTTCATGATGATAACCACCCAATGGGGAATGTAATCCTTTGAAAAAAAAAAAAACATCTTGAACAGAGGAAACTGGACAGAAACAACTTTGCAAGCACAAGAAAAGGAGCAAGCTGCATCTTTTCATGAACCAAGGAATTTCTCCATGGGTGTCAGAATTAGAAAACAACCAGCCATGAAAAACATGCAATGATTTAATGATCTATCGCCACCTACTGGTATTTTTGTTTCCTCATAGTTGACTTTAAATGGTCATTCCACCTGAATAAATTTAAATATTTGTGTCTTATCTTGAAATAAAATATTTGTACAAAAACTACTCTGTGTGGTTGATAACTTATAATTTAGTTTATTGTTTGATGCGGTGAATTGTGCATTTATCTCCTGTCTGTTTGTGTAAGACCTGTGTTTCCTTTTATCTCACTGATGCAAAGGATCACGTGTTCTTGTCTGTATGAATCTGCAATGAGGCACCAGACTTTTATCGGCTGAGGCAGCACCAGAACAGAGGCCTCTGCTGCAATTAATAATGGATGAAAAGAAACAACATGTAAAAATGCGAGCGCATAGAAACCGACAGAGATGAATAAACAACAAAGACTGCGAAGTTTGTTTTGTGGCTTCTGACAAGCGGTGATGCAAGAGTGTTGTGATGATTTTTAATTAATTCATCAATCTCCAACATGTGGCCTCTTCTGAAGCTACAAGCAGCACAAAACTAAAGGAGAGAAATTTGCTTTCAAGTGCGATCATGCGTAGTTGTTACAAAAGATGTATACTGTACCAGAGAGCCACAGGACAAACTACACATCTGTGTGCATTTTAAGGACAACAGTATTATAATACTTCTGACAAAATATTACTATTGCTGGATTAATCTGAGAAGAACTGCATTTTGTATTTGCTATCAGAATTTGTCTCGCATGTTTTATCTCAGCTGACAACTGTGATCAGATCTGGCTTTGACAGTAATTTGATTGAAACTGCTGCAAAACATTACACTTTGAGAGAGAGAGAGAGAGAGAGAGGAGGAAACCTGGCTTACTGACAGACCGGACTTTTTACAAATGTGGTTTGATTAATTGGATTCCAGCCTCTGCTTTGATTTGAGCATATTTGCATCTTTATTCAGAGCTGTCCACAGATCAGATTTCTACATTTAAATGCTGTTGGAGCTGTCATACCTAAAAAGGGATGCTACTTCAAAGAGAGTGTATACAGTATGAGTAGAATCATCATGCGCCACATGTGCTGTAAGGATGGGCTTATGTTGCTGGACCCTGTGAGTGTGTGTTACACATGAGCAGGAATGCACAAAATGTGTTAGTGAGTTGACATCAACAATTACTTTAAACAACATTATATTACTAAAATTGCGAAATTAAAGTTTGTTCTAGTTTGACTTATGATGGCCTGTTTTGTCATGTTTTTTTATGTTGATGTTAAAAAAGCTGAAAGTTCGCTGTCATCACTCCCTGCAGATATTTCTCCTGGGACAGATAATGTGGATGGCAGACCATGTTAAATTGCTGCTAGGTGTTTTTCTCCTACCATATGTCATATAATAAACAGATGTTTCCGAGGTGCAATGTATTTCCATTTCAGTGGAAACACACCATCAAATTTGATGTCACCAGTCATGATTTGCTGGTTGCTTCAAGGTGTTTTAGACCTTTGCCTCTCTCTGATAAGAAGTTGTCTCACAGAAGGCAAGAAGTATTCTACAATGGGGACTCCTCTGCTGCCAGGTGGCCTCGGTCCCTTCCTCTATTTTATTGAAATTATTTGCTCCCTGTTTCCAAGAAATCTTTTACTGTTATTTTTGCAGATGATTCAACCCATGAATCAACAGTTGAATTACAAACTGTGCTAGGTCAATAAAAACTATTATTTCAAACATGTCTACATTTAAATCAATGATAACTGAACAGAGATTATCTAATATTCTCCAGCTCTGCCTTTTAATACAAGGCTTCAAGCTGGATCAAATTAATCAGATCAGTTACACCTGATCAACATCTGTCCTGGTCACTGCATGCTGGCAGTATTTTGAAGAAAATGGGAAAGGTCAGTTATCACTTTGAAAGGTTCTACTTTTGTCAGTCCAGTCGTGACAAGTGTAATCAGTTCATTATTAGTTCATTCATTATCTTCTTGAGTATTGTTCAGTAATATGATTCCATGCTAATGAAAAGGATCTCAATCAACTTCAATTAGCATGAAACAAGGCTGCTAGAATTATACCCTGTTGTTTATATTGTAGTGTCACTGATATGCATAAATCAGTCTTGGCTTTCAGTTGCGGCCACATTACATCTCAGTCTGCTTGTTTTCACGAGGAAAGCTACGTCTGTTGGTAAACCTCAGTCCTTTTGGAGTACTCTAACACATATGTACATATCCCATTTGGTATGTGAGAATTGAATTAGTTATCCCCAGACCTATGACTAACATTTTAAATACAGTTAGTACACTGGGATGGAACAAATTATTAAACAGTATTAGAAAAATCAAGAAGTGTTTACACTTGTAAGAAACAAATCGAGAGGTACCTAAACTAGACTATATGACAGTATTGTTACAGTTATAAGCTATCATTTGTTTGTGCTGGTTTGGCACATTCTCTGCCTTTATTTTAATGATATTATATGAGGTAATTTGAAATATTTATCAATGTTATTTATAGTTTTGATGATGTTATTGATTTGATTGTGTTTGTTTTGTTATATTACTTAACCAGTAAACCAGTTGTTCCTAAATTCTTTATTTAATCGATAAATATCACAAAAACTAAATGTTAACCTGCTTTGTGAGGATGCCTCTACCTGAATTTAGAAATAATTTAAAAGTCATTATTTAAGTACTAACAAAAAATATTTTAAATCATGTTTTTAGAGACTCTAAGAGGAAGAAAATATTAGGCCTATAAGCAAATATTTTACTTTCACAAAACTGCATTCAGAGTTGTGCAATCTGTGACCTTTTAAAAGTACGTCATGGTAAAATATTAAGTAAAATATTAACGCCATTATGTTAACTTCCCAGCAGAGGGAATCATATCTCCACTCTTATCTTTTCTTATTATCATTGTTCGTAGTGCTACAGAAGCTCCGTCGATTTATCTATGGCACCATTATCCAGTGTAGAGTGCAGTTGTGGTGCACAGATTAACCATAAAAAATGGTTTTAATATAGCCACCAAGCTTAAAGAAGCTGTGAACAGCAGGTGTTTGCTGATCTTAAGTCTATGAAAACAATATAAACGTCACCAAAATACAAAAACTGTAATGTATCATGTCTCAGGAGGGTCTTTCTTGTTCTCTGGAAAGGAACAAACAGTTACAGGAAACAAGGTGTGTCTCTATAAATGAACTTGGAAGTGTTGAAACTTTCTCTGATAAAGCTATTACAAAAATTACGGCTGAACTGGAAGTGAAGCTGAGTAGCAGTAAAGAAGTCTGTTCCTCCCACTGTCCTGCAGATATAAAGAAGCAAGACTGGTGAAACGGTCATCACACGTTATTGGAGCTACACAAATACACGACAAAAACAAGATATACAGAATGAATCTTCTCCCTCTGATGGTTGCTTTGGGGCTTGCAGGTAGATATTTACCACATTGTATCTTATATCTAAGATTAATGTTGGAATAGCCATATAGTTCCTGTTTGTTCTCGTTGTTGTGTTGCAGGAGCGTCTCCCCTGAACTACGACAAGGTTTGCCAGCCTCACTCCAGACCCTGGCAGGTCTATCTGCATGGTAGAAGTGTATCCTGCAGTGGAGCGCTCATTGACAAATGGTGGCTCGTAACCTCCTTTGATTGTACACCCATGTAGGTGTTATTGCCTGTTAATGCCAAACAAAAACTGACTGCTGATGTTAAATTAAAATCTTTTGCAATGTCATGTTCCATATAATTTTTTTAATGACTGTCACAGTTTTTAGAGTCATTTGTAAGAAAACTTTTAATGTAAAAAGTTGCTTTTGTTTTGGGTAAGCAGAGTTTTCACCATAATGGCAGTACTTTAGTTTAATGGACATCCAATTTCCCCAGACTACCAGCAGTTAAATCACATTTGGGCTTGGTAAAACCTGGCTGAAGTGCTTGATATATTCTACTTTGTTAAAATTCAATGGTGTGTTATTTAAATCTAGCAATTTTGTTTGTTTTTTACCATTAATTCAATTGCTGCAGCATTTGCATCGTGACCTTCAGCTGCATTCAGCAAGCTGGTGTCTTATACAATTTTCCTGAAGAGATTAAAAAAAAAAAAGCAGAATATTTTGCATTTTTTGTTTCCCTCTGAGAAGTGATGTTCATGCAAGAACTGCACATGCTGTAGCTTTTATATACCATACCATAATCTTATAATCTGTCGGCAGACTACTCTGTCAGTGGACAGAACCACTGCAAAGTCCACTTGTGTTCCTTCATAAACAACATTCATTTACCTGCTGTTCCTTAGTCATGGGCCTGTTTCTGCTTGAGGCCTGAAAAGTCCTCCTGCCTGAGCTTAATAACTTTAGAACCAATCTTCCCTTGTATCCTTGCAGATCCGACAGAACCATTGCATCCCTTGGGGAACATGATGTGACTGTGGTGGAGGGCACCGAGCAGCACATTCCGATTGCTGATGTGATCCATCACAGCCCCTACCGCTCACCACTCCACAGCCTCACGATGGTCCGTCTGTCCAGGCCGGCCCGCTTCAACCGGTACGTTCAGCCCATCCCTCTGCCCAGTCGCTGCCCACAGCCTGGAGAGACCTGCTATGTCAGCGGCTGGGGCTCCACCGTCCCAAATCAATGTAAGTGAATTTAAATGTGCTACTGTGGCTTTTGCAGCTCATTAACTTGTAACCACATTAGAATTTAGTATAATTGCAGGATAAACCAGTGTTCCCTAATCCAGTCCTCAAACATTCCCTGCCCTACAAAGTTTTAACTCCAGCTTTCCTTCGAGTATCAGCTATAAGCCCCTGGAGTTTCTACTGTAAACAAACCTTTCTCATTAACACAGCTTGTGTGTAGCAGTTCAACATTTTGGGAAAATACACATGTTCACTTTCGAGCAGAGGGTTAGTTCTGATAAAATAAACAAGATATCTCTTTTTAATTAGTGAGCTTTACAAGTGTTGGAAGGTGGCTATATTTCGAATTTGTGCAGAGTCGGAAACTAGTGGTTTCCTCCTGTTTCCAGTCTTTATGCTTGTCTGGCTTCATATGTAGCACATAGATGTGAGAGTGGTATCCACCTATTTTTCCAGTGTATTCCAATAAGTGCATTTCTGAGAACGTTAAACTATTCTTTTAAGGCTTGATGAATATGTTGAATGAATTTCCTTCCTAACACAAAAAAAAATGTAAAACTATGTTTAACAGACTGATAGACATTATTGCTCTCTGTGGTTTGGTGAAATATGTATCATGTCACCACTGTGCTGGCACTGTGCATGTTTATCCTTATTCATGTACTAGTAGAATTCATGAAACAAACAATATGGTGACCTATATTTTTTCTATAATGTAAACATTGCTCTACAGCACCACAAGGAGAAGAAAACAACAGGGTCAGAGACCGGTAACCCATGCTAACCTGTAGTACAGAAAAAATTCCATGAACAGACAGGGCCAGCTATGAGAAAACTAGAAGAGTCTCAGCTAGCAATATTTGGAAAATATGTTTATATTTCCATACCTGTCAGTTAAGAATCAAACTGGAGCCCAGGCAGTTAGCTTAGCTTAGCATAGCATAATGGCTGGAAGCACCTATCATACATTTAGGCTTAACCTGGAGAGATACAAAATGCAACAATGTTGTTTTTATATTTTCAGCATGACTGAGGGAAATGTTGGATTCTGATCAGCAGGTGGGCTTGTACTTGCTAAAATATTCATCAGTATTCTGGTCACTGCTGCCCTAACAAGGCATGGACACTATTTTAATAATAGCTAAAATGGCATTCTTTAATCAGAAGAGTTTCTAATTACCTGTCAAAATGCCCAGTCAGTGATCAAGACTAATTAAAAGAGGAAGACCTTGAAAATAGTATTTACTCAAGGTTTAGACCTTATGCTCCAGTGCAAGTGGAGACAATGCATAAAAATGGGAGCTAATTCATAGATCTGCTGAAGGAAATGAAGAAAAGAAGGAAGCTCTTGTCAAAGAATGACAGGCAGATTGATGAATGATGGTACTGAATATATCATAACCACTAAGTTGTACTTGTGTTATAAATTCGGATGAGATTTGAAGTACTTAGTTTGAAAGAATCAGTGCAATAAATCACCCTCGTCCTCTCCAAAACAGATGAGCCTCCTCAACGTCTGAAGTGTATAACTGTGCCTGTTGTGGATGACCAGACTTGTATGAACACATTCCCTGAGTTCCTGTACTGGAGCATGGGCATGGTCTGCGCTGGTCAAGTATACACAGATAACTGCATGGTCAGTATGGACATAACCCAGTGAAACTGTAGCTCTGCATTTCTCACCTGTATGTCTGTTGTGCATCATAATCTAATCCGTGTCTCTGCCCTCATCCTTTCTCCCTGCCTTCCACTGCATTTTCATTTCATTTCAACTCACTCACTTGCATGCATTTCCCGTAAACAACCACAGCAGAGTATATTATTCTCTCCCCTCTCTCTCCAGAATAATGATGGCAGTGTGATGGTCTGCGATGGCCAGCTGCAGGGTCTGCAGTGGTTCAGCCATGGCTGCAGGAACCCAGCTCACCCCACTGTCTACACCAAGATGTGCAACTACAATGACTGGATCAAAGATGTGATGGACCGTTATGCACCCACTCTGCCAACTGAAACCACTCCAAGGATGATGGCATGATGCAGCAGAGAGACACATTTATTCAGAGATAAAATGTAGCCATTATTATAAACATTGCCTCTGACCACTTTGCATGCAAGGTTTAGTGCTTGAACCTGAAGTGTAGGAGTTGGCCTTTCAGTAAATTCAGCAAGACACAGTGTTGCACTCAGTGAAAGTAATACTTTAAGAATAACATACATAAATCCTACTCTCAGCTAAAATGAAATGAGACATGTTGCAACACCTCATGTTTCATTCATGGACTTTTTTCCTTGGCAAACCGTTTCTACAGCTGGCTAATAGCTGCTGCTAATTAGCTCTGATGTTTTTCACACCAGATCATAACTCCACATTTGCTGCCATGTATGTGACAGTGACAGTGAATTTGACATGACAGGGAATATTTATTTGTTCCACACGTTGAACACCAAAACTGCAAAAAGAGAATAAACATCCAATTCTGATGTAGCCCTCCACTCAATGGAATTTTAGCATCTTTTAACTCACTGTTTTAGTCTCACAACTCGCAACTTTAATGTTTTGATACGCTCTCCCGTTAGTGCCATTTTTCACTCACAGCAAGTGGATGTTTTGAGCAAAAGCCCCAATAAACCCACTGCAAACTACCTGCCCAGCACCAAACAGCAGACAGACAAAGTTAGAGACTAGTTGGTGAACATAGTGGAGCACTTAGCAGAAAAAGCAAAATATAGCTCGCACTGAGCAAAGGGAGAGTGGATATTGGACTTACATTTATCAAGTGGGCAGAAACATGACACCAGATTAATGCTAATGATGCGCAATTTGTTGTAATTATAAGTACACATTTCTTTGCTAACAAGTTCACAATGTCAATTTTCTATGGTAATAATACTGTCTGTCAATGTTATGTTAGAAAATAATGTCAGTAACCACAGGCTGACTTTCATATGTTAAAAGGATGGTTACCACTTTGTAAATAATTTGTAATATATATTTGAAATGAAGCATTTCATTTGTGTTAATTACAGTTTCATGACAATTAAATCAAATGAAGTCAAACAGGTTGAGCCTCTTAATGAGGTGTGCCTGGGAATTTTGCACCATGCAAATATTGCCATGACAAAAGATGAGCGGCAATAATGAGACGCTCCTCTAGATGGGGGTAAAGCCCAACCAACGTCCCAAAGAGAGAAGAGAGACAGAGGGGGAGAGAGGGAGAAAACCTCTGCTCACTGCAGTGTGAACAGGTGTCATGAATCTTACATTCTGTTCAAGGTTTTGTTTGAACTCTGATCATTGATCTGAACTCTGCCATTGCATCAATATGTCCACAAAAATATGTTCTAGTAATAAACACATGGATGGAATGTAATATTATCAAGACACACTGAGTACAAAGGAGCTAGGGAATACATGGGGGAGTTGGACGAGCACACAAAAAGCACAGACACTGCACACACAGACACACTTACATGCAAAGTGACTGACAGCTGTGTCCATAATCACCCAGCCAGTTGAACATAGGGGCCACTCTGCCATCTGTTCTCACCATTTCTCTCCCATTCCTCACCCTCTCTCCCCCCTCTTTTCAAACCTCAGCGGGAGGCAGAAAGCAAACTGAGGGGCTGACTTTGGTAACTGGGATGTCACTTTTGAAAGCAGTGTGATATTAATTGGTGTGTGGATTTGGAGCTGCTGTTTGTGTTTCTTTCTTTGTTTCAATTTGGACAGCCATTGTTTATAATTCTGGGGGATTTGACTGAAACCAATTTAATGTAATAGCTACTGTGTCAATAATTGTTAGCTTTCATAATAGATACAATAGATACTTCACTTATGCCCTCAGGCAAGATATCCAATATAACAAGCTTGAAATCCTGTAGGATTTCTCAGCAAATACCTTTTTGGTCTCTTTGTGTACTTAATCCCAAATGATCTGCAGGTTGTTATGGATTGTAGTATGTGGTCTACACCCTCTGAAGAGGGCATGGTTCCTAGTTTACCAGTCTGCTTTGGGGACATAAAGCATCCCCCTAATAATTTCTACCAGAACTCTCTGAGAATTAAAATTAGTTATCTTATGTGCTTCTGCAAACATTACAGCCCATTTCTTACATGTTAAATCCAACCTTTCATGTCCTCTGCAAGCAAAGTCAGTGAACGCCAATTAAGTGGGATATACAATAAGAAGATGAGGCCTGATGAACAAACAGCTGCTTTAAGGTTTTAAGTGTCCTGATAGCCTAGCATTTAACATGAGTGTACACTCGCATTCATAGCTCTGGTAGGCAGTATCATGGCTGAGTGGTACTTTCAGCTAAATGCTAATGTCACCATGGTAACATGCTCACAATGCAAATGCTAACATCTTGATGTTTAGCAGGTAAAATGCTGTTGGGAATGTCATTCATTTTGCAGATATTTGTTCATAAACCAAAGTATTGGACAAATTAAATTTTGACCTGATGATGGCGCTAGATGAAAAGTTAATGGATCAGTAACATGCGTACAGTTCATTCACTGGGCACCTTGGATATCAGTGCCAAATCACATGGCAGTTCATCCAACAAATTTTGACACATTTCACTCAAAATCATAAATGTCACTGCCATAGCGGTGATAGAGGAAAAGTCAGGGGATCATCAGGCGCAGTGGCTTCATTGTCTGAGGACCATGAATGTCAGAACAAAAATAAATGGCTATGCCTCAAACTGTCGTTGAGATATTTTAGGACCAAAAAGCTGTATTGCCACTAGCTGTACAGTGTTATAAATACTTTTTACAATGGTCGTTAAAAAAGGTTGATTACCTGGCTTGAGGAGAAATCTACTGCACCATAGCACAACATATAGCTTTAAAAACATACTTACTTTATAACAATGACACAACTGTATTGCTACATTGAAAAGTTGTGTGCTTATCTAGAAACATGGATTGCATTTAAAATAACACCTTGTTTTTGGCCTGCTAAGGTCAGATGCACCTTCCAAGGATCCCACTCCCACAGAATTTAATGGACCAACACATTCAGAAGTTGTAAAGATAAGATGACCTTCGAGGTGAGAGGGATTTGTATGTCCTGAAATAAATTCTAGACACAAGTCTGACTCCAACAGAGCTGCTATCTTCTTCTCTGTTTCTACCCTTCACACAAACATGCGCACATATTTTATTGATATCTCTGACTGACAGACTGTGGAATCCTTTCTCTCAGCCCACTTAGCTATAATATGTTTACCTGTATTAATGGTAAACCATCGTCCCTTTCGCTCTTCCCGCACTCCCTGTTTTTAAGCTACTGTAAATTATTTCCCAATTTCTGGGTGTCCTCCCTTCCTCCTTCTGTTTCTTCTGGCTTTTATAACTCAGGCATGCATGCGCAGCCCACAGTGAAAACAAATATCATCCTCAATTGCCCAAATACCGTGGCATAAACTGATTAATGAGGGAATTAAAATGAATGATGATCCATAGGGGGAAATCTTTTTCCTGGGATGTGACAGTGCTTATCAGTGGTTGGTGCAATATCTGTAGAATAAACGTAAGGCATCTCCCTCTCTCCCTCCATCTCCCTCCATCGCTCTGTTTCTCTGGCAAACTGTCACCATCACTCATCAGTGGCTTACATTCCCAGCATTCCCCTGGGGCACCTGGCTCATGAGAGAGGAAAAGTGACGAACACGCACTGAAACGCACATTCACAAACAGAGAGGAAGTGCACGCGGCACACACCCGCTCTCACACTCATCCTTCCATCATACACTTTTTCTTCATAATAACTGACAGGTCTTTTCACAAATATGCAAATGAACATGAGAAGCTGACTTACATTAGCACAAGGCTGAGTATGTGTGTGTGTGAGTGTGTATATACAGTACTACGTGTGTGTGTGTTTCTGCTCACTGGGCTAATGGCACATTGAGAGTTGTACAGGCCAAGTCAATCATGCCGGATCTCTCCCCATTGTCCCATTGAGACCTGTGGCTCATCAGGGGAGATAATTAGTCTGAAGAGCTTTAATGACACTAGCCTAATAGCTACAAGAGCACACTGAGAGGCAGCAGTGTGTGTGTTTGTGCATGTATGTGTGGGATGTGTTGTGTGTAAAAGTGTGGGACGTGTCTCAGAGGCGGTGAGTAAGCGATTAAGTGATTACAATCATGTTTTGTTAATACATATGTTTAGGAGAGAGAGAGAGAGAGAAAGAGAGAGAGAGAGTGTGTCTGTGTGTGGATGGTGATAATGTGGAAGGTGATAGAATAATGAATATTGTGGCTATCTGAGTCTAGCCCCCACACACACACACACACACACACACGCGCACGCGCACACACGCGCACACACAGAGTTTTCACATTACCACCACACAGCACACGCGAATGTCAAAACGCGCACACACACACACACGCACGCACGCACGCACGCACGCACACACACACACACACACACACACCTCCTCACACTTTATTTTACTCTGCTTTTCTCCCACTCCCTCCATCATTGTTAGCATTGGAGCAGTGAGTTCGCTCACAATCCAATCCTGACACACAAAACCTCTGAGCTTGTGTGTGTGTGTGTGTGTGTGTGTGTGTGTGTTTGAGAGACAGTCAGAGATAGAGGTGGGGGTGGCATTATGCATTCATATTGGAAATTGCTGTGAATTTAAATGAGCATGTGCACTTTGGAGGATAAATAAAGTGCATTGCATTGCCATGAGTGCATACATACAGGGGGTGGACGCAACAGTGGGGACAGTGTATGTGAATACGCGTTTCTTCCACAAAAATCATACATATTTTTACTCAAGATCTGTTAATAACTATAAGGTAAGTATACAAGCCCACAACACAAACACTAAAGAGACAAACAATAACACAAACCTTCTCAGAGAGCTACTGTAGTCCCTCTGAGATTTATCTAATAGAGTGAGAGTTATCACTAATAATGGTATGGATTTGTCCCAGAAAAGCAATAAAGGAGGCCCAACCTTTCCTAAAATAATCCATATAATCTTGCAGGGAAAATCAGATTCTCCCGAGATAGAGGGTGACCAACAAAATAAA